GTCTCTCTGACCAGTTTCCTCCTGGCTCTATCATCCAGTTTGGAGTGACGTCCTGATCCAGGGAGGGTCTGTGTTGTACCAAATACCATCCACTTAATAATAATAATAATAATGGACTTCACTGTGCTTCTAGGCATTGATAAAAATCCTTTGACAGTGCCTTACCACCCATAGCTGATTGCTTGCTTCAGTTACACTACCAAGGACTGAAATGCTCCAAGAAAGCTTTTTTAATGCTGAGCTAATCAAAATGACTACAACTGATCACAGTTGAAATTACAGTCAGATGGCTTTTTGTGCCATCGACAAGGTGATTAGCTACACCTGACTGAGTTTACAAGTCATATTTATGAGGGATGATCCTTTTTCCAACTCAGTGATTCTGACTTGAAGACTGCAGTCCACAAACGGTCACCATCAAATTTAACTGAACTTGAGCAGTTCTGCAAAGAAGAGTGGGCAAATATTGCAAAGTCTAGATGTGCAAAGTTAGTAGAGTCAGAGACATATCCCAACAGACTAAAAGCTGTAATTAAACCAAAAGGTGATTCAACAAAATACTGACACAAGGGTGTGATCCTGTGATTGTTTTTTTTTTTTGACATGTTGGTGTTATATCTTTCACTTGAATTGTATAAGTTGCAATGAGTAAATACAGCTGGATAAAACAAAAACGGTGTCTGTCTTCATTTCAGGATGCAAAGCAACAAAATGTGATTCTTTTAAAGGGGGGGGTGATTCTTTTCTATACCCACTGTAGGTGCTGTTGCTGTTTGAGCTGAGTTTCCATGTTGCACACTTACGTAGCAATTACGCCCTCCTGTGGCCGACATAGTAGCTGGACTTCATCTCTCGCTCTTTTTTTTTTTTTTTTTTTTTTAACAATCTCTTGAAAGAACTATTACAACCAATATTCTATCATTATTTACTCAATTTAATGTAATTTTCCTTCTTCTGGGGAGCACTACAAGATATACTATGAACAAAGTCCATGCAGGTCCTTTCCCTACAATGAAAGTATACAGTAGGCCTATATAAGAGCTATCAAACTTCAAAAATGTCTATACAACCCTACACTATAGTAGTCAACATTTGAAGTGGATTAAAACCTTTCATCAAAGTTGCCCTAAAACCTAAAAACAAAATGTGTTCTTGTCTTAGGACAACTTTGATTAACTTTTTTGATCCACTTCAAACGTTGCATATCCCAAGTCTTTAATCAAAGCTTTCCAGAACCGGCCAAAACAAAACAATCTTATCAGAGAGTATCTCACTATCAAGTAAAATAACTGAAAATGTAGACAATCACTCATGCACAGCTACTTATTCTAAATGTAGTAGGTATTTTTGCATATTTTAATATTCATATTAAGTTTAGGTTATACATTATTAAGATTTACTGTATCTATATTAATATTGCATTTTAAGTTTATACCTACTCTTGTTCAATTGAAATACTTAAAAGTTTGTTTTGTGTAACATTTGTCGCTTGCATCTTGGATAAAAAGATGCTAAAATATGCTTCTCACTGAAGCTGAGGTTGAACAGTCTGAGTCAAAGCCGGGTGTCTGACCTCAAATACTCTTCCAGGAGGAGGCAGAATTCTGAGTTGCCTGGAAGTTGGAACACAGCATACTGGTTTGGTATTTTTGAGTAAAGTCTGTGGTGACATTACTTGAGGAGGATTTCATGCTTTGTTCTATAACATAAATTAGACAAATGAGTTCTGAAACCATTGCATAGTTCAAAAATGTAAGTTTCTATAGTACAAGTACTGCAGTGGTTGTCCAATTCATCAAGCATATAAACTAAGCAATTACATTTTTACAGAAAAAAAAACAATCTTGAAACATTTCTACAAATAATGGTAACCACAGACCTTATTTTACTCTAATCAAAATCTGCCAATCTGAAATTCCATAGGGAACCCATGACTCCGTCATTTTCTTTCCAGGTTTTAGGACTACAAACTCAACATCTCTTTTCCTTAACATGGAACCATTCAACATGAGACTTTTCATTTATCTTATTATGGCTGTCATAATATAAACTTGCCAGCACTATCGATGACTCTCTCATGTTTCAATGATTTTCTAACAAACATGTTAGTAAAGGTATATGGATCTGTCAGCAGAAATGGTACATAGGGCACCAATATCTTATTAAGGGCAAAGAGATGTGCTTGTGTTGAATCTGGGTAACTTGCATACTCAAATGAGATCAACAATAGATTTGAATTATCTGCCATATACTTATTATGGACATTATAATGTATGGCCTGATAGCCCCATCCTGAAGTAAGTGAGGTTTAAAAATATATATATTCTATGATATATCTCATAGCGTGAGTCTACAGGCACAACCTAGGCCTACATGACTACAGCCACCAGATGGCAGCAAACCCAATCAGAAACTCTATAAGAAAAGAAAAGAAAAAAACCCACAAAAAATCCCATTAGGGTACACAACAAAATAACAGGTACACAGCAAAACTCAGACCAAGTAGTATATACACAAATTTCACAAAAAAGCATTTGTTCGGGTTTAAAAGACACAAAAACATACAGGACACTTCCTAGCTGTCAAACTTAGTTCATCGTGTTCATGAACTACACCTATGGTTACTCTGCTAGGACACCAGTGTAAACTTCATGTTTAATTTTAAAGGAAGTTCAAATGGAAATGTTATTGCTCACAAAAATCTTTCAAAATCATTGAGTATCTAAAAATACATTAAGTACATTCACTGCACTGTAACAAACAAACAGAGGGTCTTGTTAGTTGCAAGTCTGTGAAACCCCTCTATCTTTTACAGTGCAACGAATGTACTTCATGTCTTTTTAGATAATCTATAATTTAGATACTCTGGAGAACCTCTTGAACCCTTGAAAAGTGCTTAGAATCCCCTAAAGAGTAAATATAAAGTGTATCAAAATCTGGCACCATGCTACACTGTGCTGGTTTATCATACCACTCATCCGGGTAACTGCTAACCAACGTTACTTTCATGTATCAATTGTATCACACACCTGCGTTTCAGCTATCGATTACTTTATGTTGTCTTAAGAAAGCCTAGACAGAAAATTTGAAGTAGTTTAAAAGGAAAATATCCTCAGAGGACGTCCGTAGTAATATTACTGAAATATTGCTGCAGTGTTTATCTTGTTGTTGGTAGGATTGTTTTGTTCACTCTGTACCTTGGCGGATGCGCAGTGTCAGGTATAGGCCTACGACTCATTGTATATTTTGCATAACACACAACAGTTTTTTAAATGAAATAATATCAAGAACTTACATTTCAGACAAAAAAGGCCAATTTATTCGCATACTTCGCCTACTAACCGGAAGCTACCTTTGCTGGACACCAAACACCGCACAGAATAAAAACTGGTGTGGATTAGTGTTGGGTCGTTCTTGAACGATTCGTTCGTTTTGAACGAATCTTTAATGTGACTCGGGAAGAACGAGTCGTATCGGGGAGCGATTCGTTCAGTCGCGCATGCGCAACATCCTATAGGTTCTGTACTGGAATTAGTCAAGTAGTTCACCTGGTTCGAGCCTTCGGGTTTTTCCGAGTCGTTCGTTCATCACGTGACAGCCCCATAATTAAGCCCAAACCCGAAGACTTGTCAGATAAGAGGAGGTGAGCTAATCATAGACTGAAGACTCAGGTAAACAATGAATTAATATTTTCTCTTTCTTATAGCAGTTTTGTATTGTTTGTAGTGTGATCAACGTTTGCGTAAGTAGTAGACATATTAGGGAAGTAACACGTAACATTTTAATTATATTTTGTTAAAATTAACGAAATTAACGAAATGACTCGAAAAAAGATTCGTTCATTTTGCTGAACGAGACTCAAAGGTCCGAGTCGGTAAAATGATCCGAACTTCCCATCACTAGTGTGGATCTCCGTACGTTAGTGGAGCTGAGCGACAGATCCCGCTCAAAGCCTCCTATAATCAATCGGCTTCAATTCCACTCCGGGGTTTCCTTTTTCTGCTTCATGTGCACTAGAGAGAGAGAAACACCGCACCGAGCGACCGTGAACCGATAGACAACACCACAAGTTAAAAATACAACAACAACAACACTCCTTGCTGCAGGAAAAAATGCATAGCTCTGCTTCCCATCGCAAAAGAAAACACCGACGCTTGGACTTTCAAAAAACCCGCTACAGTTTAGCACCCATTAAAAGAACACTGAACACAAACATTATGTCAGTGTTCGAATTCGTTCACTTTCATTCTTTGCTTGCTAATAGACTTTATGGGTCAGAGAAACAATTGCACAGCCATCTATAGAACTTTGTCTTTGAACTTTCGTTTTTGATGTAGCTCGCTGAAGAGTAATTAGTTGGTGAAGTGGATTTTGTTGTAGAGTTAACAAAAGTTATCATGTGAATTGTAATGTTCGAAGGTGACGTCATAACACATCATATCAGTAGACCTGTTAGATTTTAAAGGGGTCATATGATGTTGATAAAAACGAACATTATTTGGTGTATTTGGTGTAATGACATGTGTTTATGCGGTTTAAGGTTCAAAAAACGGTTCATTCATAAATTCGTACGACCTTACCTTCCTGCTGTGGAAATACAAGCCGGAAGACAGAAGACAACGAACGCAGTGCTGAAAAGAGGCGGAGCTGCATAAGGTACTATTTTAGTAAATGAGTAGCCTAAGCTAGAGAGCAATTTCAGACGCGGCAAAACAGTGAAATGTTCTTGAGCTCTGGAACGCCGCTTGACCTATCAAATTCTCTCTTTTTTGCAATAAATTTATACCCTCATTTTATTAAAATTGTATAATCAAATGTTTATATATTTTATAAATAACTATTTGTACAATAATGTACTGTAAAAGTGTGCTCCTCCTGTTGGCACTCATTACATAGCACGTAGATGGGAGCTTCGGTGCATTTACCCCAGTGCTCTTCTAATCTGCCATTCCCAATGATAGTAGGCGGGGGCGGGGCTCAGAATGCTTTGAACACAGATGCGGAGCGGCTCTTCTGCTCTGAGCGCCAGTGAGGCGAACAGCACCATGACTGCGAACGCATACGATGTGATTGTGATTGGCGGAGGCATCTCAGGTTAGTGTCATCAAAATAGCGCATAAAACTTAATATAATCTCATTGCAATTAACGCACTCTTAAAGTAACTTTATTTCACTGAAGATTACAGGCTTATGATAGTAATGCTGAGTTATGATCGTCGTTATTGAGTAAAATAAGGCGCGCGACAGACCCGTGCTGAACGACTATACCGTTTGCTAAGCTTAGATGCCTTATAACAAGACTGTACTATGACTGCGTTTAAAAATAATAATGCATATTTGCGTTTTAAATAGGACTGTGTTAGTTTGCCAAAAGGACGGGGCTAGTTCTGCAGACTTCCAGTGAATTTGTTCGCGATGTCACCTGAGCTTGCTCTTCCACTTCCGTGACATGATTATTTCATATTCATAACGCCAGGGGCAGAGACAGTTAAAAGGCATGTAACAGTGTATATATATATATAACATGCCCATGAACTTTTTTATACTCAACATCAAGATTTTTGTTTAAAATATACGTTTGTGTATAAGAGCAAGTGTATATATATTTTAAAATCACGTTTACCTTCACTAGCTCATTTAGAAAGGTCCTGCAATGACAAAATTATACAAAAAAGTACAAATATTCCATAATTTCTACAGTTAATCTAGCGCAGGGGTGTCAAACTCAATTCCTGGAGGGCCGGAGCCCTGCAGAGTTTTGTTCCAACCCTGCTCCAACACACATACCATATAGTTTTCAAATAAGCCTGAAGGACTTGATTAGTTGGATCAGGTGTGTTTAATTAGGGTTGAATCTAAACTCTGCAGGGCTCCGGCCCTCAAGGAATTGAGTTTAATACCCCTGATCTAGCGTGTCTAGCATCTAGTCTAGTCTACATGTATAATAATTATAGAAGTATATATTTTTGTTTATAATAGTTTTAGATGAATTATGTCACTACATAATATTAGCTACCCATTTTTCAATGTCAATTACCCATCCTTATAACATTTTTTTTCTGGAGTACTTGATTCTGATTGGTCAATCATCGCATTCGTCAAATGAATAATAGACCAGCAATGTTGCATAACTGATCATTCATCCGTGTGCTATTGTTTTATGTCTCTAATCATTTTAACTGAATATTTTAGCTCAATAAATATTTCATGTCCATATATTTGATTTGAAAGAGATCTATAGAAATAATAGTCTTGTTAGATGCAACAGGGCTTTTCACACCTAAGACTATATTTAAGGTTATCTTATGTGGAATGACATTGTATACACAATTTAAAACTATTTTATATTTTATTATTTTGTAATTATTATACATGCAGCTTTAATTGCCTCATATTAAGATATTTCATAAAATATATTTTCTTTTAAAAATGTATTTGTCACACTGCAAGACCATTTAAAATGAACTGGAAATGCCCAAATAGTGTTTAAAAATGTCAAAAAGAATGTGGTTAATCATTTTAACCTAAACTGATTTCTAAAAAGAAAATTCCTTAAACATGCATCAACTACCCACATAGTCCTCGTATGCACATACTTGCAATGCTCTGGTGCTCTTCATAGCCTATGCTTAATCCATACAAAAGTAGTGTGAAACATAGCTTTGAATAATGTATATAGTTTATTTTCCAGAGATTGCAGAGAGATTTATGAATATATTGCACTACAATAGGATGCAGTATTGATTAGAAAATACTATGTGATAAGGAATCTGTATCAGTCAGTCCTAGAATGTGACCTATTTTGTGTAGAGCAGCATGAAAGCACAGCATATTGTCCTTACGGTTATGACCTGACAGGAAATTCCATTTACTTTGAGCAAACTGACTTGTTCCCACAGTGAATATGCATTATTATATACAGGCATGACAATTTAAAGCCAGCTCAGAGGGAGTGCACACTGGATGAAATCTTTCTTGTGTAAGAACAGCATTCTTGGAGACAGAACCGAGCAAAACAGCATCAAGATGTCCTCCTGATAACCTGCTGGAAATGTTATTTCTATTCATACAAACTTTTTAGACAGTTTCTATTTTATATGATTAGGCCTGTCGCAATAATCAATATATCGACTTATCGCGCAATATATGTACATGACCTCATAACAAAAAGTTGTTATCGTGATTGGCCTATATATGATATGCAAATAGACCACAAAATCAAGTCAGATGTTTTATTCTATATACTGTAGTTAATTGTGTCTGTTTGCAGTGTAGCTCACAGTTTAATATCTCCTGACCTTTATAGACTACTGATTACTCAAACTCAAACTTTGTTTCAGAAAATGAAGGTGTGTGCTGTGCACTGAACCAGTCATACTACTCTGCTTGAAAAAAGCTAATGAATGTAATCAGTCACTATTATGTAACAAGGCCACACACATTGTGCACCATGGACCCGGTATCATCCAATCCTAAATAGAACCTTTTCCACATCAGGACTGATTCCCTGCCAAGTTTCTAGGAGTCAGTGCTAAACAGACTGCACTTTTGAGTCTGTAAAACATTTGTCATTAATGTATGCGTGCGATATTACACGTCATCGGTAGTGTGAGATTAGTTACATATTCACTCTCTGGTCAAAGGTGCGGTGTAATTCATGCAGTGGCATGTGTGTTATGTTTCATGATATGCATTATCTGATTTGTGCACTATTGCATTTAAAAAAATTGTTGCAGTTTCTTTGAATAGGATCCAGATATGACTGCATTTGACACATGAGGTAGAGAGAGACAAAAGATGTTTTCTCATAAATTGGCTGTCATCGTACACCCGTTGAATATGCGGATGCTTTTCACCTGTTGGCCTTTGAAGGAAATCAGAGTTTCTTCTTATTCTAACCAAACTTCATAAAGTGGGTTGAAAAGAAATGGAACATTGCTTTGGGGACCGTTTAATAACGACCCAGCACTCCCAGCAAATCAAATGACTATTTGCAAAGCCACTTGAGGTGCTCAGGGAGACAGCACATTGGCAGCAATGGTAAACAAAACTGACAACCCATTTTTATGCTCCCTGGGATCCAAGAACACGTGACAGCAAATGTGTATTTGTGTCTATTGTTAAGCGCCACAGGGGCTGTGCTTGACATAGAAGAGAGACAACTGACGCCTTTCGGCTAAACAATGGAAATGACACCTTTACTCTTGTGACCTTATTGTTTCATGTCAACAACTGAATTAAATTGTCACAGTTTACATTTTATTCCCATGGTTAAAGACGAAGTGTGTCATTTCCTACAGCTCTAACAGTAGAGTGCTAGCATGACAAGGTCATGGGTTTGATTTCCAAGGAATGCATGAACTGACAAAATAAATGTTTTAGTCACTTTGCATAAAGGCATTATGCTAAATACATAAATGTACATTTAAAATTTAATTTCTGCACCACTAGTGTTACCAAGCAAAACTGGAAAATTAACTATATTTTCTAAAATATGATTGGCTCTTTCCTGTGCAAACATTGCTGTCATGATCCTAGGATGATTTTCATGGTTGTCAGCATGTTATCATGTGGTTGTTCTGGTTGCCAGGGTGTTGTTAGGTTATTCCTTACTTGCCTCAAACAACAGAGCCAGTGTTTCTATTACAAATGATCTCTAAAGGAGAGTCTCAAGCCATAAACAATATAGGTTTAGTGGATTTTTTGCCCATTTAAAATAAAAATCGTATGTTGAGCTATTTAGAAAAGTTATAGCACACTCTTCTCAATGAATCGATTAATTTGAGATATAATTAAAGTCCATAGTGCAAATTGTGAGGGACAAGTTCCACGGCTAGTTTATTGTTTACATTTAGAGATTCTTTCAAATCTCTCACCTTCTGTCATTGGTCAGAAAAACAGATAGTTCAGCCCCCAAACGCATGCCATTGGGTGAACCAGTGTTGGACTGGTCGAGATGTTTAAATAAACAGAGTAATGCTTTGATAGTACCGCAAAGTCACTCTGTTTACACTTGTCAGAGAAATCAACCTACAAATGACTTACTGTTGAATGTGTGTATCAAGCTAGGAAAGGAGAAAGTGTTTTTGTATAACAATTAACTTTATCTTTATGTGCTTACATGTACAAATAGCTGTCAGAAACTGTTTGACAATTGAACAACCTGCAAGTGTTCAAATAACAAAAGCATTAGGGAGTTGTTTTGCTCAGAACTCTAGGTCTCAGCAGCAGCTCTCATGGGTGTGCAAGTGGAGGGCAAGAATTCCACATCTAATTGTGGAGGTTGTTGACGCTGACGCTTCCTGGTGAGTGTTCTGCTCTTGCTAAAGAACTTTGGCATTCCTGTTTTGGAAGTCAGCCAGGAAAGTCCGGAAACTTGGAGATTCACAGGCCATGTCAGAATGGGCTACTTTTACATTGTGGTTTTGTGCTTATTGATACATGTGTATATATATACCTGTTAGTGTGTGTTTTTGTAACAATGGCTTCGCAAAGACGTATACTACCATTCAGAAGTTTAGGGTCAGTATGATAATTTATTTACTTTTATTCAGCAAGGACACATTAAATTGATCAAAAGTGACAGTAAAGACATGATGTTACAAAAGATTTGCATTTCAAATAAATCTATTCATCATTCATCAAAGAAACAGTATCATTGTTTTCACAAAAATATTAAGCAGCAAACTGTTTTCAACATTGATAATATAAGAAATCTTTCAGGATAATTGGAATTATTTCACCGTTGCCATCACAGGAATAAATAATATTGTAAAATATATTAAAATAGAAAACAGTTATTTTAAATGTCACTAATATTTCACAATATTATAGTTTTTTCTGTATTTTTGATTGAATAAATGCAGCCTTGTTAAGCATAAGAGACTTTTAGACCTTAAAAACATAACCAACCCCAAACTTGAAAGGTAGTGTGCAAAAAAACTTCGGACATACGTCCTCTTTCTGTCCGAGTGGGTAGACCTTGCACAGAATTAGCTGTAAAATAAACCAGACTTTATGCTGCTGTATTTGCATAAAGTTAAACTCAACTTTCAACACCTCAGCTGTCACATCAGACACGGCCACATTGCCAG